TTCGCGTTTTCAAAATCCCAATTTCGTTTTTGTCAACGAGTCTCTACTTCCGATGCCAACTAATTGGGATGTTTCATCGAGTCGTTGCTTTGCGACGTACTCGCGCCTTGTGCAACGTGGCACTTGGTGATGCCGGCCGCGCAGAACGTATGTCCAGTACAAAATGTACATGGGCGCGCGGGTTCGAGCTTCGCGCTCGATCGGCTTAGTGATGAACACGCTCTGCTTCGTCAATTGATTTGGCCCGAATCGGTTAGAACTCGATCGATTGTTCGAAATGGTCGTCAATGGGTCCCTTCTCTTTGCTCGTCTACTCTACAGCCACACGCCTAGCGTGTGTTAACCCTGTCGAGGAGTCGAGTGGATTCCCCTAGGCACGATTTTCGCTCGGTAAAAGGGGTTGCCTCCTCATTTTCTAAATTGCTGAATGTTAGCTTTTAAAAAATGTGGGTATCCTCTTCTTTTACCGTCTATCAGCCTTGTGTACTGCGCTAGTGATATAGCATCCGTGCGGGTCACCTGAAATCGTGTTTAGCGGGTCCAGGTTCGATACGAGATAGGATAATTATGCGCGAAAAAGAGCTGGTGAACTTTATTTTCCTCTATTCCGTCAATCGTTTCGTCTTCTTTCCGGTTCGGGCCTAATCTTTGCTCGTTGTATCGTTGCATTCCCGACCTGTTGGCTCGAAATTGATTCTCGCGAAATGAAATGGGATTTTCGCTCGTACCGAAACCGGGAGTGTCGGACAAAGTATATATATATTAAATATATACATCGCGTGACAAAATTTTTAATCGTACCGAATTAGTGCGGGAGTGCCGTTTAGTATCGCGCGTAAAATAACGAAAATAGCGATATAAAAATATCGCTCGTGAGTGCGGGAGTGCCGTTGAAAGTATCGCGCGTCAACAACATGAGAGGAGGAGGAGGCCTGGGAGAGGCATCTTGCATCGGCGGAGCAACCTGATGGTGAATATTTATTATTTGTATATCAATTGTTATAAATCGTACGCATAATAATTCGATCTTATTATTTAAATGAAATAAAGAGAAAATTAGAGAGAAAGATTTTTATAAAAGTTATATAAAACTTTTTAAAAAACTTTCTTAAAAAACAGTTTTAAAATTTTATAAAAATTTTCCACACGTGTTTATCTCTGCTTATTATTTTACACATCGGATATAAAATTCCGCGCGATAAAAATTTTTTGAAATATTGATTGCATTTTGTGAGCATTAATATAAATGAATTTTATATTTGTATGTTACAGACAACGTAGCTTCGATAATTATAACTCCGCTGTTGCGCATCAGTGTCGGTGAGTGAGAAAAACTTTTATTTAACTTTAAGGTAACGGATTCGTAGAGATTGTAGATGTAGATTGTAGATTGTAGATTGTAGATTGTAGATTGTAGATTGTAGATTGTAGATTGTAGATTGTAGATTGTAGATTGTAGATTGTGAATTGTAGAGTAAGTCCGTTGCCTTAAAATGGATGAGCTAGGATAGATTAAATTAAATAACTTTTAATAAATTCTTTCGAAATGCTTTGCATCTATTGCGAAAATATATTGAAGTATTAATTTAAAAAAGAGAATCAAGAAAAGAAAATTTTTTTTGTAAAGACTTGACTAGTTTATTAAATCAAGAGCACGCATTAATAATTTTAACAATTTTATCAATTTTTAATACTACTTTATTCTTATAACGCGCACTTATTTTATTCTAATTTCTTATATCATAGCTCATCCATTGTAGAATTTGTTTGTAGATATTGTTTTTAAATTTTACTTTAACTTAAAGCCAAACGATTAATTAATTAAATAATTTGTAATATCATAAAAGTTATACACATACATGAATTTTATATTTTATTAGAAAATATAGTATATAGAAATTTGTAGTAGGTTGGCTTTATTTGAGTTAAAATAAAGTTATATTCAAATATTTAAGAAACGATCGTAAAATCGAGCGATCGTTACGATGAGCGTGAAATATTTACGCTCATTTGCCGGCAATTAATCGGCAAAAGAAGGAGTGTTTATCTCCTTTTTCGATCTCTGATTAGAGATCGAGCGAGAAAGTGGCCAGAATCAACGAAAAGTAAGTTCAATTGGCCTGAAGAAAAGCTTTACGTACAATAGTACGTAATGTCGGACATTTATTCACGCGGTTAGGGCATGCGGTTAGAGAATATAATTAGGGCACGTAATTAAAATATACGTGATTAGAGATAGGCTTTCCTCAAATAATTTCACTTAATCGAGAAATAGGATCGTTAGGGCTATTAGGTGATCATTAAAATTTTTTAATTTTCCTTTCAAAAAGTAGAGGATTGTTAGGGCTATTATGTGATTAATTTAGCTGATTTTATATTATGTATCTTATAAAGAATCAGGAAATGTAGGTTTAAATAATATTAGGGAAAACTAATTAATAAGTTCAATAATTATATTTTTAATATTAAGATATTTAAGGGATCAATATTTTTTGAGTGTTTTTTAAGAGAGTTTTTTTTCCCCACGTAAAAAAAGAAAGGATTGTTAATTTATTTTGTATTACATTTCAAATTATATAATATTATATTTTATATTAACTTTTTATATTAAATTCTGTATTGAAAGAAAATGAAAAATTTTGCCTTCTCGATATCTCCATCTTAAGAATGGCATTTGCCGGGGAGGTTTGAGTATTTTAATGAGCCTGAGAGCTATGCCGGCGGCATACACGGGTAACATACACCGATATTCGTATAGACTTTTCTTATATTTAAGATAATTTTAAGTATGATCTTAAATATAAAAGTGAGTTATGAATACCGATCGTAGTTATTGATAGAGTCATCTATGCCGGACAAGTCGAAGGGGAAGTGTCAGACTAAGAGAAATACCAAAATTATATAAATATTTGTTATATTAATTATATTAATATTTTTAAATAAAATGAAAGAAAAAGGGACAATAATCGAGAAAAAGGCAACTACAGTGATTTGAATATCTATACCTGAGAACAAATGTCCATAGAAAGTATTTCGATGGACTCCATAGGAAGGAATGACAAATGATGATAATTTTTATAATTTTAACACAAAGGAATACAATAAACCTTAATAATCCAAGAACTCGAAGAAGAGAATATATTGGATAGAAATGCATAATGATTGAAAATAATTAGAAACTAAAAGACAGTGTGCAATCTTTTTATTAATAATAATACTATTTTGTAATTATATTAAATTTTATAATTTAGTACATTATATTATATAAAATATTAAGCATAAAAATATTATGCTGGTAAGAAAATTATAATAAAAGTATACAAATAATGTTGACTATATTAGAATAGAACATATGAATTCTTTATATTTTATATAAAGGAAGAGATATTTAAAATATTTTGCAACATCTATATTTTTCGAATCTTATAATAATTATAAAAGCTTCAGAAGAATCAGTGATTACTTTAACAAATTCTATACATGTATTAATAATTACATTTTTAAATAATTAAAAAAAATGATTGATAAATATCAAAGATCATTTTACTGCTAATTAAAAAGATTTATAGAAATACGATTAAAAAGGTTTTTATTCCACAACAGACATTTTGTTTTTTTGTAAATAAAAATATATAAATATAACATTGAATGTATAGAAAAATATTTATTTTATCTTTGAACATTACATTGGAAGATCACAGTATTTTTCGGAATTGAAGTCAAATTTTAACTTCTTACTTTGTGATACGACATAAATAGATATGAATCAATTAATTAAATATATATTATATTTAAATTTTTTAATGTTAATATATCTTTCGAAAAGAGATAATATATTTGTATTTATGTACACATAGAATATATATATGTAATTCCAGCGCGTGTATTTCATGTAATGTTTTAAATTGAATAAATATATATATATATATATATATATATATATATATATTTCTAAACATAACGCAGCTATTTCAGAATAAAGTTATAGCGTTATACTATATGTACATATATATATTATATGTGTGTGTGTTTATTTGTGTATGTGTAAAGAGAGAGAGAGAGAGAGAGAGAGAGAGAGAGAGAGAGAGAGAAAGGGAGAGAGAGAGGACCACAAAATTTATTTAAAAAATTAAAATTAAAAATTTATTTATATTTATATACATATGTGTTTTGCTATACAGCACTGATGGCATTTCGTGTACTACAGGCATTTTTTACATAGCACGGAACAGAATCAGAAATTGTGCACATATATGTTACTCTCTGAGAACTTTCGTGGACTTTGGCTTTCATGTCCACGTTTTTTAAATTAACAGAGGGCGTATCGCTTTCAGGGATCATCTAAAAGCGGGCCATGACACCTCTCAGTCTTCTCTCTGTCCCACAGTAGGCATTTTGTATTTTGTAAATAAAAAAATAAATATGACAATGAATATAGAAAAATATTTATTTCATCTTTAAGTATCTTTCGCGATTGAATAATTTACTATCAATTTACATACATAAGTATCTTGTTATACAGCATTGGTGCTACCGGCATTTCGTGCACATAGCATGGAACAAAACCAGAAATTGTACACACTATATATTACCCTCTGAGAACATTCTTGAACATTGGCTTTGTAGTTCATGTCCACGTTTTCAACGTCTATAGAGGGAGTATCGCTTTCAGGGATCATCTAAAAGCAGGCCATGACTCTCTCAGTCCTTTCTTTAACGACAGTATGATTTCTCTCAGGCTTCTCCCTGATCATGAAAAGGCGCAGAAATATCAAATTCATACGATTTCAATAATAATAACAATAATATTGTAACAACGATAGAATAATTACAATAATTTTATTTCTAATAATAATAATATAGAACTTTTGAAATGGTTTTTCAAATACATAACATTCTCTCACTCTAATTGCATTAGTGCAGTAATGCAGTTAAAAAGAACAAACCCCTCGTGTCATAAGTTGGCACGCCTGATTACAACGGCAGTTGCGGTAGTTGTCATTTTTTTCTGTGCGAGTCGTGGTTGGGTGAGCTTTACGTCGTGTGCGTAAATCGCGTAAACTTTTTTACGTCGTCGCGAGTGAAATGTGAATTTGTTGATATTGCGAATCATCCCGAGTAATATTCCGTTCAGGTGAGATCGCATTTCTTTTTCATTTGCGAGCGCGAGTCCGTGTATCGTTCCTTTGAGGTTAACCCTCTCTCGTCAAATGTGACTTTCCTCGATCTTTCAAAAATTTATTATCGCACGAAATTATTTGCATGGCGTGCGTGTTATCATCGCGAGCGATAATAACGTCAAAACACGCATTCGGTTGACCGTGTCACGTGAATAATGACATTTAATCGCAAGTGCTCGTGATTACCCGCGCTATTTTTTTCCCTTCCTAAGAAAAAAATACGACACTGACAAGAACTCATTTTTCGTGACATAACAAATTTGAGATCGATCGGTTGTTAATTTTGAAAGTTTAACTGTTAATTTAAAAGTTTCCTTTCGTAGTCTTATCATGTATATTTTTTATCTGATATTTGTATATATTTTATATAGATGAATATTTTCTTAGATATCATTGCAATTTTTCTTTGGATTATTTACTAAAATTAACACTATATTGAAATTTATCTATTCCTTTTACACTTTTTCCTAATATTGCATATAATAGAATATTATTTAACATATTTAGAACTTATTTAGAATTTTATTTCAATATAGTTTTTACATAAAATTTAATTTTTATATATATTTTATATATTAAATATATATATTTTTGTCTCTTTTTATTTGATTTTTAAAATAATTTCCTTTATTGTTTATTTTACTATCATCTTTTACTGATAATATATAATATTACTATTACAGTGTAGTGCAGTGATTACATTCTGACAATATGTCAGAATTAGAGTTGTCGGAGGCACAGTCAAAGGCTGAGTCAGAGGCAGAATCATCAGAGTCAAAGTTATCAGAAGGAGAGCCATTAATGGCAGAGCAACCAGAGACAAAGTTATCAGAGACAAAATCATCAGAGCCAAAGCCATCAGGAATAAGGCCACCGTCAAAGATCGAAAGACTTTGCTCCTCTAGGCCACGTAGACCAGATATTCCGCCACCTTCCCCAGTAAAATCAGTGACTACAAAGATCAGTGAGTCTTTGACAAAACTGTGTGCTATTTTATTTTGCTATATATTGCATGCCTGTTACAGTTTTATATTATTTGGTAGTATCTTGTTTGATATGTGCTATTCATTTCTGTGAAATGGATGTAAGATGTATAAATATTTTGCAGATCAATACAAAATGTAGACATTTAGTAATATTCTAGTCAGAAAATAAGTCAGATATCAAGAAGACATTAACATAAACATATACATCTGTTATATTTTTTATTTATATAATATACAATAGTAGAATATATCTCAGAAGCTATGTTTCTCTTGAATTTGTTTCTAATTTTTAGGATTCTTTACATCTCTAGAAATCTTGCCAAGCGTTATTCTCGTGATTATTTTATTACATAAAGTTAGATCGATTTTACTCAGATATACGAATTACAGCGGAAATTAATAAATAAATTAATAAACAAATTAATAAACAAATAATAGAAAGGAGAGATGTGTACTGTTCATTTATTAATTTAGGTATGCTGTAATTTGTGTTTACATAACGTGGGTCCTGAAGAGGATACCACGTGTTGTACAACGTGTATCCCATGCACTAATGTTGTTTTACGAGCGACTCGTTCTCTCTGGAGTACGCACTGCGAATGACGTGTTGTCTCGTTAAAATTCGTCACAGTGTATACTTACACACACGAGAACGCTACGCACGCCCACGGATCGCGCTCGTGACAAGCTTTGCTTACACGCGTGCGAGTCTCCGCGAGTTGACCGCGCGAGTTGTTCTTCGACCGTTCGCGACAACGCATCCCTCGCGAGAAAAAAAACTGGTAAATATCTTTAGTAAAAAGTTATCAAGAATTATATGATTAACGACTTGCTCAAACTTATCACGAATAGTGAAAGTGCTTATTTTACTTATTTGTAAAAAGGAACGAATATTTTTATCTCGGCTGCGCGCAATTTTTTGCCAAAAATTATGGTGAGTCAAGTTAGTCGCTTGAACGCAAAGGTTCGAAGCAAATGGTTTAGTAATTGACTTTAAGGTAATTAATTTAAGGTAATAATTATTGTCACACATTTTTTAACATTTTATAATAATTAGATACATGAATATACAAATACATTGTATCTATTAATAATTATGTGTGTGATATTGTTCTATTATTTATTTCTTTTATTTTTTATTTTTACTTTTTAATTCAATTATTACGATTTTTTTTATATATGTATGTGTATAATATTTCTTCCTAGTTTTTTCCTATGTTCGATCCATAAATGCCGACTAATTTGATTCATCATACTTATTGTTAATCGAGAGTTGACTCTTATGCCATTTTATTTTTATTTTTTAATCAAGAGTGATTCATATTTTTAAGTAATAACTGATTTTTGAAAAATGGAAATAATTAATAATGACAAAATATAATTAATTAAGGTAACTCGAGAATTAAAAATGTATATAAATCTTACTGAAATAACGATTTTAATTTCATAGATATATTTTTTTTAAATGCTTCATTTATAATTAATCCTTATGCAATGTTGCTATCTCATGTCAACTGAAATAAGATATTTACGTATGGTTTATATAAATTCTTAATAATAATAATAATAATTAATTTTTTTAAGAAAAAAGAGAAAAATAAATTCTTGCAATATGTTACTTCTACTAACTTTTAAAAAATATTTTCTTCAATTCTTGGTCAACTTTTATTTCCATTATATACTTCTTACAAATTTTTCTCATTCTCTTAAAAACTTAAATTCTTCCTATTTTCTTCATTATGTTTTTTCTTCTTTCCTTCATAAAAAATCTAAATTTTGTTTTATTAAGTTAGTCATAAATTGTCCGTTTTTTTATTTTCGAGTTTTTCTCCCGCAAAATCTTCATTTTAGATGTACATACACAATGCAAGCAGGTATGAGACATGTTTATCATGCTTTATGTTCCCCTTGTGATCTCGGTGCATCTTTGCGGCGGCGCGTAACGAGCAAAGTGCGTTTTCGCGGCCGTCTCTGTTACATCCAGGGCACGTATCTTACCTTATTGGTGCAACTCCATTGCATTTACCTTCCCTGTACAATCGTGCTGTGTCGGCTGACGCATTGCGATTATGCAAGCCGCTGGTGTTTATTTCGCGCCCGCGATTTCATTCCGCGTTTCGTCTTTTCTTCCCGACTTCCCTTTTTTTTCGATTTCTTTCGTTTCGTTTCTTTTTCTCTCACCTGTGCCTCTTGTAAGAGATCGATCGATCTTCTCAAATTTCGCAACTCGATCGAAAGTCTCAAGGTCCATTTGCTTTTCATTTCTCATTTTATTCTGTATTTAAACATAAAGAAAAATTGCTTGTAATTATTAAAATTTTACATGAAATTAAGAAAGAAATATGTCGAATGCTTTTATTGAAAGAGTGAAAATAAATTTTTACACAATTTTAATTTAGTAGATTAATCTTCAGAGGCGTAAATAAATTTGCTTTCTTTGATAAAATTTAAATAAAAATTTGAATTAAATTATCATACATATAATTATATTTTTAGAATAATAATATAAATATTTGTAGAATAATTTCAATGATAATTTCTAAAAAAAAAATTGAAGTTTTGGATTTAAAATTAGCCAAATATGTGTAAGAGCAAAATTATTGGAATGAAATGCGAAGTTAACACTTTATTTAAGATTAATGGATGCAACCTGAAAATATCCAAATCATCATTAAAATACATATTCTTAGATTTTGCGATATTCTTTATAAATTATATGATTTATTTCAATATCATGGATTTTCTATTCGTTCGCGTTCGATTTTGATCAATTAATTTTTTTCAACGAGAATTAATTAAAAAAAAACGAAGTAAGAAAAGTTTCGACGTTTTGTAATGACGTAATCACCATGGTGTTTTACCGTAACTATGACTATCGGCTAAATATGGAGCGATAAACGTTTTATGAGCGTGTGAGGCTCTGTTGATGGGTTATGCTCATTTCGGGTCGCTTTGTCCATCTATTTGTACAAGGTATTCAAGATATTAAAGCCGGTTTTAAAACTTTCCATTTTGCGGTCTGACGAAAGTCTACGGTAAATATTAAACTATTAAACACATTCGTGATTTATTAAAATTGTAGCAATGTAATGCGACGAGCTGTGTTGTGCATCTCTTTTTATCCTCGCGATTTTAAAAATTTTAATTATAAAATTATTTTAAGAATGATCTTAAAAGCATTTCACTCCTGAAAGCTAATTATTTATAAGAAATATCCGAGCAACATACGCATAATATAAGCGTAGGGCGTGTCGCATTCCACTTATTATGTATCTGTCTGAATATAGAATTATATTTTTTATTTATTCGAAATTATTTTTGCAATTCGGTAGATAAATCTATCATTTAATTAGCATATCATACTTATTGACACGTTGGTTGTAATTGCTTAATCGTATTGATTTATTACGTCATAATTTTGTTACAATGCGAGATGGATTACATGTAATAGCAATAATGGCATCTCCCTATAGCTATTAACCTTGTTTATCTATGTGAATATTCACGCTTGAAGGAGCAAAGCGCCGGTATTCGATGGCTGTTTCTATAGATTACCTTACATATCGAGTGATCACTTGACACCTTATTAACCTTAGATTTAGAACGTGGGATAATCGATATTGGTAAGATCAATCGATGATAAAATCAATTCGATGATATTTACAGTAAATCTTTATTTCGGATATTCTATATATCTTGCCCAGTGTCTAAAAATTTTATCCTAAATTTAAAAAAAAATTGTTTTTGTCTTATTTTAATGTTAAAATTTCAAGATATATGATATAATTATAGAATTTTTGTTACAAATGTTATAAGAAAGAATTGTATTTTTATCATATTTTGAACAAAAAAAAATAAAATTATTTTAATATTATATTTAATATTATAAAGAAATAAAATTATTTTTTTATTATTTTAATATTAATTATTCTAATATTACTTTAACATTGTTCAATTAATTTTTCATTAATTTTTCTTGAGATATACATGATTTGAAAACAATTATATGTATTTAATGAATCTCATAGAAATTATATGTATAATTCAATTATACAATTAATTAGCGGCCTATATCAGAGGCTATAAAATACATAGAAATTTAAAATGTAAAAGCAATTCATTATGCGATGCAAAATAATTCACAGAGACTCGCGAACGAATGATGGCGCCGCAGTTTTTTGCATCAGATTCCATTGATACATTAAATGCGGTTAACACGCTCGAATTAAAAAATATAGTGTATTCTGTCATTGAATCATCGTGCAACGCACATCACGTATGACTCTAATCATAGATTGTCAATCGCGCAAGGTTTCGCATAAATTTACGCGGCAACAAAAATTATATGGAAATAAACGAGTCATGCAAGTTTTAATAAGAAATACACGGTTCTTAATAAAAATATGGGATAAATTTCCTTATTCGAAGATCAAGATTCGTTTCGTAATCTTTTATTTTGTCAAAATTATGTTACATTTTCATATATAAAAATTCACATATAAAAATATATTTCATATATAAAATTTTATTTAATTTTATATTTATTTTATATTTATTTATTATACTCGTATTTATTTATATTTTTATTTTATATTTATTTATTTAATTTTATATTTTATTTCATGTATATATAAAAAACATTTATTTAATTTTATAATATTACGTTTCTTAACATTTTAATAATTAAATAAAAAAAAGTTACTTCAATTTGTCAGCAGAGTTTATTTAAATTTAATAATAATAATAATTTTATTTAAATTATTGCTTCTTTTCACACATGTTACGATTGGACGTCTATCTGATCACATTTTTAATATCGATAAGTACCGTCAATCGCTCGCTCGCGCTTTTAAGAGCAAAAAGCAACATACGCATATAAAAAAGCGCATTTAATGTAGATTGCACTGTGTGATAAAATTACCGGGATTTATGCATAATAATGCCTCTCTGCGGCTGCGGCGGAGATATCTCGCCGCGGTTTGTAATCGCGATTTCATCTCGTCGAACAGAGATTTCGACCCACGCGATCGACCTACTACGACAAGGCACGCGCCCACGCGTCGCTTTTCCATAAATAATTAATCAAGTATCGCGATAAAATCGCCACGATATACCCGGACATATATATACCGGCGACTCCTTTTGCGGAGATTTTTTCGCGGCACGTGCCGCGAAAATATTAACAAGATGGAACTTGGGATGCCGATGCGCAATCGTCACATAAACTACGATATCTTGCCTTATATTTCTATCAAAACTCGCGAAACTTGATGGAAACTTAGACTTTGAGTTGATATATAGAAATATGAGAGGAAATCCATGATGAATTTATAGAAATAAATGATCATTAAATTTAGAAAAAAAATTAGAATTAATAAAATTAATTAATAAAATTTAGAAAATAATTTAGTATTAACGTTATATATTTATCATATTTTTATTTATATACAAATTATTTATATATAAATATTATATATTATATTTATATATTATATTTATATAGTTATATATTATATTTATTATATATAAATATTAAATTATTAAGTATTATATTAATAAAATATAAAATTATTAATTATATTAATTTAAAATTAAATGTACTTTTTTGATGAATAATTTAAAAAAATACAAATAAATGGAAATGGAAAAATAAATAGAAATAAAAGTAGATATAAATAGAAAAATAAATATAATGATAAATATAATGAAAGATAAATATAATGTAAATACAATATATAAATAGAAAGGTATAAATATAACGATATAAATAGAAAGATATACATAAATAAATATATAAACAGAAATAGAAATGAAAAAATAAATTTTTTATGAGAATTTTTGATGGAGATAGGAAAGCATGCGTTTTTTTTTTTATCGATTTCTCAAAATAATAAGATGCGATATGAACGATCATCTAAAAATATCTCGAACGATTGCGCTAGAAATCGCAAGATCTTATCGGCGTCATCTGCACACACCCTGACGCGTCATTAACAATTCTTTTATATAACACTCTGTCTTGAGCTGATTGTAATCAACTTCCGATGACGAGTATCGCAACGACAATTACCAAACCAAGCCCTGATCTATTTCACGCCGAGTCATCTTCCGTTATGTCTCTTCACTTCGTAATTATTAGTAATTAACTTAGCTATAATCAACTTTATGCTATCTAGCTGGCGACATGACATATCTCCAAATTTATTATCGACATTATTCAAATTGACCTTGAAAAAATAACGAGTTGATGTAAATTGCATGTGTATTATATTTAGTATATTAATCATTCACATTATTCTGCATTAATTTGTAATTAGTCTATATTAATCTTCGCAATATTTTCATTATTATTAAGAGAGTGAGGGAAAATTCTTAGATAAATATTATCTTATTGATGTAATACGTTTATACAACAAGTTACACAGATTTGCGAGGTTTTGTTGTCTAAGAATTGTAGATTCCTACGTAATTTTATGCTAAATATAAATCTGGGCGCAGATATTATGTTAAGTTTTTGAAATAAATAGGTTAAAATAATCAAAAAATGATGACTTCAGTTATATTAATGAAAATGTTAGAAAGAAAGCAAATTATTTCCTATATTTTAACTGATGGCTTTAGCCTTTTCTTCAAAATTAATTTTTTTTTATCAATGTGCGATTTTTTTCGAAGGATTTTCTTCCTTCTTTGCTTTCAAAAGCAAGAAAAAAAGGTTAATAACTTCTAACTATATATCTTGGCGAGAAAAAAATCACACATTGACAAATAAAAATTAATTTTAAAGAGAAAAGATAGTATTGTATGAAACCATCGATTAAAATATAGAGAATAATTTACTTTCTCTGTAATATTTTCATGAATAAGGAATAAGAAATTAGAAAATCGTCATTTTTCAGCCATTTTATTCTATTTATCTGAAAAATCTAATGTGATAGGCAATTTCTGCGACCAGATTCGTATTCAGCGTACAAAATTACGTATAGAAAACCACCTATAATTCTTAAACAACTTTTTAATGCCCTTAATTCGCAGACCTGTATTATCATTAACTCAATTAGTGTTAATTAAAATTGATTGGGACAAATTTTAATTAAACGATGGACTCTCGATTATACGACCAAGTAAAACATCTTTCGCGCGAGAGAAACGTTGTTCTTTATTTTCGTTTTTGCTATGATTTGCGTTATTTTGCATGACAACGGCAGAACAGATGGAGCCTCTTTGGGAATCGCGCGGCCGTCAAATAGACGAGGCTAGCTTGCGAAGAGGATCAGGTAAGTGGCACTTTCAAATTTTTCTATGTTCTCGAAGATCGCCATGCAATTATGAAATCCCTGCACCCGCGAGAAAGGTGACAATTTTGAAACCGCTTGAAGTTTAATTTCGCAAGACATTCGTTGCAAAACCGGATTTTATAGCGAAATTCAAAATCGTTCTGCTTTTGCAACAATATTGAATATATATAAAACTTCGAAAATATAGCTATAAATTTATAAATGTTGTAGATTTGTAAAAAAATAGTTTGATGGTGTCGTTTGTATAGTGTGACATTTTTGTTTTGCATTATATTCATATATGTATGTAGATAGCAGATATAATATTACACATGTGTAAAATGTAGTAAATAAAAATTGTAAATTGTAGTAAATAAAAATTAAAAAATGTGTATTACTAGTTCAATATAACGTTGAAAATATCTGCAGATTTTTAAAATCAGTAAATATTTTATAAATGTTTGGCAGAGTTCGAAAATAATAATTAATATATATGGAAAATAATAATTAATATATAATTATATATTACTTATAATTCCTGCAATTCAAAAATTTTTAAGAAGTTTATGTCTGATAATCATTTATAGCATCTTTTTTTTTAAATATAGTTTATCTGTAATTAAAACTAAAATTTTGTAAAATTAAAATATCTTTTATCATTATTTACTAAAATATATAAATGTCTCAATAAATTTTCTTAAAAGACTATACATTTGAAATTTCTCAGAAAGAATTTAAATCAAGTGAATTATGAAAATTCTGAATTTATAATAATATTAAAGTATCTATCATCAAAACTGTGATTTATTTCTAATTTTTTTGCGGGGAAACAAATTTTAAATTATATTTTTAAGTTAGTTAGTCGGATTATAATGTTGTCGACATAGTCGCATTTCAAAGAGAATCATATTGGATCCCGCGCAGATACCAGCGTCGTTTTAACCGAAGACACAGAAAGCTTTATGATCGGTGATCGAGTATGGGTCGGCGGCACGAAACCTGGCAGAATCGCCTACATCGGCGAAACCAAGTTTGCTCCTGGGGACTGGGCAGGAGTTGTCCTGGACGAGCCCATCGGTAAGGACTACCCTAACGATTTTAGCCGATCGTACGAACCGTAGAGCTTAGGAGGGAATCCTGAAGAGATCCAACGAGTATCAGAAATCCATAAATCTTAAAAATTTTTTAAGAATTTTTTTCTATTTCGTCCTGACTAATCAAGATCCAGCACAATCCACATCATATCTCTTTCCACCTCCGAAAGAATCTCCATTAATCGCGAGTAGAGATCGGCATATTCTTTAATTGACAAAGATAAACAGAGCTAAAAAAAATAAATTAAAGAAAAATAAATGAAAGAAAAAATTGGCGAAGCTCACAGAAGACGCGATCTTGAACTGCAGGGAAGAACGACGGTTCGGTGGCGGGTAGCCAGTACTTCCAGTGCGAGCCAAAGAAAGGGATCTTTTCGAGGCTGACCAGGCTGACCAGGGCACCATTGGGTGGTTATCAAACGAGTACGACCTCGACGCCGACATCGCCACCCGAAAGCATCAGGGGCAGCTATCTCGGCAAATCCATGTCGCCGTCTTTGAGTAAGGATCGCTGCAAGAGATACTCGCCACGTCCGTAGATATCTAACTAGCGTTGCACGCTACACGCCACAAGTTTTATTTAATTTCTTGATCTTGACTCTCTTTCATCCCCTCTCCTTCCTATTATATTCCTAAGATATCCGATAAATAATCCGAGAAAAATATCAGCTGATTCAAAATTTAAGTAAATGACCGACATTATTAGAAAAAGATCAGCCTTAAACAAATACTTTATTTAAAAAGTTGCAGCGCATATTTTTATCAAAAGAAATGTATTATTTTTAGTAATATATTAAACAAAATATTAATAGAATTGAATAATAAAAGGAAAGCTAAAGGAGATGAAAGAGCTAGTCGATCATGTTATATGTTAAAAGCTTCAGGAGTATAAATATCATTATTTTAGTTATAGCATTATGATGTTGCTTTAAAAAACACGCTACCACATAAAGTATGCAATTTAGTGTAAAAGGGTGGAGAGATAAATTTAGTTTTTTTGATCGCATAGAAATAACTTAGTTTTGCGACATATTATTATTTAATTTTGAAAGCTATTATTTAATTTTGAAAGAATAATTTAATGCACTTACATCAATAGAAGATACTTTTATTTTTTATTTGTAAAAATTATTTACAAAAGAAGCAACTAGGTTATCTAATTTTTTAGAAAAGCAAAGAAATCCTTTATAATTTTGAGTGCAATAAGTTTATTAATCAAAAATATATATATGAAACTAATTAATATTTACATATTCATAGGAAGCGAGAATACAGAAAAGCAATTAATTTTTCGTGCAATAAAAAAATAATATTTCATTCCTTTATCTTGTATAAAAAAATTATAAATTTAATTTAAGTTAAAAATAATTTTTTTTCGTAGCGAATATTTAAGAAATAAAATACAATAAATATATATTTTGTATATTAGAAGCATGTGAGACAGAGCTGTAGGATTTAGTTTCTTCTTACATGAAAAATTAATCAGCTCACGTGGCTTTTAAGCATGAATCACCATTATTGATCGCGGATCGCTAAAAACTGTGAGCGCAGATGTATCAACGACAAGCTTGTCCTCGTCGATGTCACAGAAGGATGAGCTGAAGATAGGTGATCGGGTGATAGTATCGTCGATGCAGGGTAGCAAAACTGGCGTGCTCAAGTATCAAGGGCCCACGCATTTCGCCGGGGGTGAATGGTACGGTGTGGAACTGGACGAGCCGCTCGGTAAAAACGACGGCTCCGTCAACGGGAAAAGGTGTGCATTTCCCTTCGAGTCTCGTCGAAAAACATCCCCCTTTCCCTTCATCGCATCCTTTACTGCACGAGATGTCTTCGCGATCGGAGCAAACTGTCAGTTGCTCCCCAAGAAATCATTGAGCTTGCTAGTTGCATGAAAGATCATTAAAAGGTGTTTTCTCTTTCCCTTCTTAATTTAATTAAAATTCAAAAATTATTAATAATTAATCAAGTGCGAGTGTCGAGCATAATCTCGAATTTAATGTAAGGTGAGAATTTTAATTTTTAATTTAAAGTGTGTAAGAGAAAAAATATTTCTACCTTTAATTTGAATTTCTACGCAACGTTAGGAATCTCTCAAATAGTTTTCTTTCATTCGATTCCGTCACCAGAGCATGCATGATCTCGAAAACGCTTGGAATGATCAAGACACGCATAGTTCGCATAATCTCCCCTTATTCTCTGCAATCCGTGCGTTCCCGAGAGACCCCGCGGAACTAACCCACCCGTTGATCCAGATACTTCGAATGCTCGTCCAAGCACGGCCTGTTCACGGTCCCGCACAAGGTCAGCAGGTCGCCATCCGCCAGAAAATCGTCCATGGTGTATAAGCCGAGCGGCGGCACCGCCGTTAACATTCCCAGCCTCCAGAAGAGAAGCAGTTCGCGCGACTCGCTCGCGTCCAGCATCGCCAGCGTCAACGCGAAAACTAGTTCGTCGATCGGCACGAGGGTAAGGTTCACCATGCCGGAATAAGGGAATGAGGAGGTGCATCTGTCATCGCTGTCAGCCCTATTTTTCTATTAATTTAGCTGTAGAGTGTGTTGCTGATGATGTGTCTCGTTGATGATGTTCGATGTAATCAATCTTTAAGTCTCTTCCCTTAAGAATATCGTGGGAAACCTTCATGTGTTCGTTTTGATTTTTAAATCAATTTACGAAGGATTTTATAAATTTTATTGAAATTATTCTTTTCTTGTACTCTTAATTCTTCATTTTTTAATTCTTCTCTAAATATTATAAATAAGAAATTAAATCTATTTTCAAGAAATCGTTTAAATTCTTCTCTTTTGACTTTAGAAATTTAAGATTTATTTCAGTTTAATATTATTTCAGTTAAATGTTAAATGTTAATAAGAGATTTAAATGAGTTTTACGTCTAAATTTTAAATTATAATATCTGAACTTTGAAGACTTAATTTATTCTTCTTGAACGTTGCATCTAAATTTTTCTTTAAACGTCCCAGAAATTTGCTAAAGCCAAAAGAATTCTAAAGTCAAAAGAATTTAAATTAAACAGTTCTTGTAAAAATAGACACAGTCTCTTGTATATGGCATTTAAAGAAGAATTTAAAAACGAAGAATTGGGAATACAAAAAATAATAATATAGAATAATAATAATAATTTTTTATAAGATTTATTATAATTATAATTATATTACAATTATTATAAGATTTATTATAATTTAAAAAATTAATGTTTTTAAATTAAATTTCAATCTTTTCTTGTATTGAATTCTTCACTTCAATTTAAATTCTTAATTGAATTGATTTAAATTCTGTTGAATTTCTTAAAGGTCGATTACGGTAAATTGTAGTCATCGTTTTCGCTTTTTATAGACAGCCTGTACATTTTCCTTCTTTCTTTAACAAAAATGATTGTATCTGAAAACGTGCGTTGATTTGCGAGATTAATGTATTATTAATTGTCTAAGGTTGCCGTTAAGACTTTTGTGCACGATCTTATCTTTATTTATTTATTTATTTTTTGTTTCCGTTTACATGAAAATTGCAGAGGCCTGGCATGCGCATGTCATCACTTGTTTCACGAGATTCACTGCAGGTGAGACCGTAACTCCAATAATAGCTCCTGATTAATTCATTATCCCCGCCAATTAGAAGCGATCGCTGATAAGTCACCCCTATCGCTCGCAATTAGTTTCGTATATTAGAATAATTAGCGAGTCGAATTAGACAATTAGCGAGGATTGTTAATGTCGCCCTGTGTATGATTGCGTTTTATTTATTTATTAATTTATTGTCATCGCTCTCGTTGGAGCTTGTAATATATAGTCGATCAGTGTGTATATAATGTTAATAAAATCCTACATCCTCTTTTTCTCTCCCTCGTAAATTCTTTTCTTTTATTTAGACTCTAGGTGAGTATATCTTTTCGCTTCTTGCATCGCGATAATTGAAAGTTTATCGTTTTTGCATGCGATGCAATTTTTCTTTGGCGATATCGTACGAGATTATTGGCAGCTGGATTAATTTTCCACGACCAGTTAAACATAAGTCCGACCGTAATATTTGCGTTGGCGTAGAAACGACGACCAGCATCATCGAATCGATTAATCAAACTCGATCGGATAATGCGATGTAACGTATTTGATTTGTATTGCTAATCGCGCGTTGTTGATCCAAAACGTCATCTGCGTGTTTTAATGGCTATCTCGCTTTATTAAAAACTCGAATAAACTAAATGATAGCGTAGCAAAGTTGTTACATAACAGTTATTCTGACAATTGTTATTTCGACTAACTATTATTTAATTTAATAGTTTAATTCCAATTTAATATTTGAGAAATTTAATGTCAATTTTATTTGACACAATATTTTTTATTTATTTTGCTCGAGTATCATTTATAAACTTATACAATGCGACAGGAGAATTGTTTTATTTATTTATATTTTTGTTTTAGCTGACATTTCGTGACTTTTATAAAAAATGTTATATCGATGTAGGAGAACCAATAAGTATCACAAGCTTGTTTCACTAGTTTGTAAAAATTTTCATGACGTAATAAGCGTTTTGCCTTATTTTAGCTTGTTCGATAGCTTTTATGAAAAGTATACCGAAGAAAATCGAGAAATAGATTATTTCAGCTCTGCATTTCTTCTTTACGTCAATTCCATCGCTTATAATTTATGTTAGATTATTTATCGCGTAAATTCCATATAAATAATATTAATATAATTCCATATAAATAATAATATATTAAAATGATTGTTAAGATAGATATTATAATTAAGATGGAAATATAGTTGAAAATGTACGTTATCGCGCATCAATAATACAATAGAACGATTTTTTTCCTAAAATCCTTCCTTAAAAATTCTTCACGGTACTTGTGTAACTTTGAATTAGAATCTAACTCGTGGTTTTAGGACATTCTGAAAGAGAAGCAGCAAGAGATAGAGCTTCTGCGAAAGCAACGAGATTTGGAGCGCGAAAGGGTCACCAAAGTAGCGAGTCAAGCTGATCAAGCGGAACAATCGGCGCTTTCTATTAAACAAGAGTATGATAAGGTAAGATATTTAAATTAGGAATATGAAAAAACTTGGTGAACTTTTAAAACATCTGAAATTTCGAAATACCGCGTCGCTTGTTATGTTTTTTTTTGCATGTGCTGGAAGCACCCCCTATATATTTTATTATTGCTTTATTATAATTATTATAATTATTTTTATAATAATTATTATAATTATTTTTATTATTGATTGATTTATTATTTTATTAGCAAAATTCTATCGTACGTCTAAAATTATTATTGACGCGATAAATTGAAACTTTAGATTGCCAAAGAGTTTTGTTTCAGTTTCGAAATCCTTCTGTTCTGTTGAGTTTTATTTTTTTTTCTTCCATTTCTTCGTCGTTGACGATGTTTAGTATCGTGAACAGATGCAACAAACGGTCAACGAAGCGGAGTGCACTGTCAACAAACTCGTCAGCGAGAGAAACGGATTGATGGTACAGCTGGAAGAGGAGAAACGGAAGTGTGAAGATCTTCTTTTCCGCTTCGAAGAGGAATCCGTTAATAAAGACGACATACAGGTATGTGCGTTAATATCAAACATAGTATATATACATAGTTATGATTATTTATCAAGTATGATAAAGGCTGAGTATCTCGTTAAAATACTCGGAATACTCGGTAAGTATATCCATGCTATTTGTCAACTTTCTGACAATAATAACAGTCTCACAGATTCTTATTCATTTTATTATAATTTAATAGTAATTTTAATAGTAATTTTTGTTTACGAATGTAAAAATTGACCTATGAGAGAAAATTTTATGGGCCATATTTTAGATATTTAATTAGGACGAATAATATTAAATTTCAAGTTTTTGTTACATTATCTTAATTTTCTTCAAAAATACGTTTTTGCTTCAATTAATAAATATGGATTTTCCTGAAAATCCCATATGGCATTAAAAGAAATCCCATAATATTAGATGATCCTGTATATTATTCGGGATAAATATACACTGCTTTCGTTCGAATGGGATAAACGGTGGCGGGTGATGTAAGTTACAACACACGCGTGCTTGGCTACATCTTGGCAACTTGGCAGAGAGCTTAGAATTAGCCCAGTAACTTTTCGCAGCAGGCAAAAATATAACTTATCCCTTGTTTTGAATAAAAGATTATTTTGGACTTGATGCATTAATTATATATGCAAATATAAAACTCAGCAAAAATATCAACGTAGAAAATTATTTTTTTAATTTATAATTCCTATAATTTTAAGTTTTACATTAAATAATCTCGAATGAAAAAGGAAAAATCTGTAATTTTTTGAAGAGAAAAGAATACATTCAGTTCTTCGGTTAATTTGGCAAACTTACCGTTTATTTTCAGAAAGAGAGATCTGAGCAAAGTGTGAGTATCCGACGGGTATCCTTGGCAGAAGTGATCCAGTTTTTCAGCACCGTTAATCTAATCATCAGTCTATACCTGCATCTTTGCATTTCGTCGCAGAGCTTTTATCGAAGATCTAATTGATGTGTACAATGCGCGACAAACGCAAAGAAAAACGCTATCGCTGATTAATTTTGCACCGGCCGTACTAACAACGCCAAATTACACAGCTATATCGAAGTCCTATTAATCTTGAAAGAAACATGTGCAATATATTTGCATCGAGCATTTAAGACAATTTTTTTTAATTATAAATTGTGTACAAATTATATATCGTTAATGAGTACTTTTGTCACGACTTTAATGTGACACAATTGAAATCTTAATTTAACAATATTAATTTAATCACGCTTTTGCTGTTATATAATTGAGAGAGCTTCATAAATCACATGCTTTATATGCACAAAGCTATTATTGGAATGTGTTCTGCAATTACCATACTTTATAATAACATATTTTGAAGATTAATTAGAATCTGGAAAATCTTCTTAATATAAAAATGTCGAAATGAGACAATAGTTTACATTGTGAGCAGTAAGAATTAATCGCTAATGAAATAATTACAAAGAACTTGCATTCTCAGCTTATAATTGTTACACGAGAGAAAGAATATCGATGTATTATTTTTTTTACTACTCTACTGATTTTTCTCTCTGAGTTCCTTTTTATAAATAGATATTACTATCTCTGTTATTGTTAGATATTAGCCAGTTGTGATTATTAATGGCAATTTTCAATTATTATACACATAAATAATTTAAAGCATTTCAATTTTAATGATTTTTTAGGTGGCGCGATAAATTATTTCATCTAAAAGAAATTATTAAATCTAATGCACATTTGAAGAATAAAAAATTAACTTTATTTCGAGAAATATTTATATAAATAATTTTTGTCTTACATTGTTTTTTTTTAATTTTTACGTCACGAAAAATGTAAAGTTAAAACAAAATTTAAAAAAGAGGAAATATCTTTCTGTTTCTGATAATAACGAATCTAAATTTTACAAATTTATAATAAATTTATTATAAGCGGAATAATTAATTCAACATTAATAATTAACAAAAAACTTGGACTACAATAACAAAGTATGCTTGTAAGCAGTTATGTTAATATGGATTTGAACGGAATTTCAAACTCTACATGATACTGCATTATTCAATTCTAATGGTTTACAACTCGAGAATTATTGTATAATTTCGATATTGTTATATTAGGATTTTTTCTAAGCTCTAATTTTTAATATAATTAAAATATGTTACACAAATATTGTCCGTAATTGTGTAGAACACTTTACATTCTAATTTTATAACTATAAAATAATATTATCGTAAGCGTTACATTTACTTGTTTATTAATTATAGTTATTAATTATAGTTATTGTATTTATTTATTTATTTATTTATTATATGCATTTTGGCTCATTTATTTATTATATGTATTTTGGCTTTCTTTTTAGTTTTTGTATTTCAAAGCAATTTATATTATTTAAATAATATTTTTTCAATATTTTTTGTTTGTAATACATGTTCGTACACTCAAATATCAAAATCGAACAATATATATTTTTTTTTGCATTTTGAATACACACGTACAGTTATTTATCTCTTTTATTCTCCAACCTGATTAAACATTGGGTTTCTTACATATCGACAATCATTGTGCTTTGCATATTGTGCTTTCTTTTTTCAATATATGCGCTTTCGAGTATTAATACACTTATTATCTCCATAATTATTATTAATTTAAAATAATATTTCTTTCAAAAATTATTTATGTTATTCAAACAAGCTTACATATTAATTCTTACATAATAAAAACTTTAATAATTAAAATTTCAAGTTTTATTTATTTATTTATTTATTTATATTTTATTTATTTTAAAATAAATTTTGTTCTTTACGTGAAATATATAATTTTTTCAATATTATAAAAAATTGCACAATGAATTCAAATATTCTATAGTAATAAATAGTAATAAATATTTTGTAATTTTAGATGATTAATTTTTATTACAAAGTGCTATTACTTAAATTTAAGAAAATATGATTTATAAAGTCTATGTTGAATAATATTTAAAAAAAATAGGTTCTTACACAAATAAAATATTAAACAAAACCAAATATACATATAATTTATTTTAGATGATTACACATTATATTATTATACGAGTTCTTTAAAAAACAAAATATTTATTTTTTACAAGAGATTAATATTTTATATTTTCTAATATAATGGAGAAAATTATACGTTATAATACTCGAAACGCGAATATGCTATGTATTTTGTACTTTCTTAAAGACTAAACAGCTTCCCTTATCATGCTAGGTCATAAATACTGTAAATGAAAGCAGGATCAAGCAACTCGAAGAAGAGCTCGCTGAGGAGCGACGAGAGCACGCCGTTCAGTTGGAACGCGACAGTATCAAACTCTTTGAAGCCGAGGAAGAATTGACACGGCTGCGTAACGAAATCAGTTGCACAGCCAGCTCGCACAATTCTCAAATTCATGGTAATCCGTGATAATCCTTAGATTTAGGCACGATTATATCCAAAATCTTTTACATTTAAGATTAATGCGATTTTATTCGCCTTCTTTTCTCGATTTAACTGGATCAAATTTTTAGATCTGGAGAGTCGTAATCAAAGCTTAGAGGAAATTAACAATAACTTGAAGGATGAAATGCAAGTAAAATCAAATACGCTAAACCAATGCATGGAGCGTATCCAGCAACTGGAGCTTGTGCTGAATAAAACGCTGGAAGAGAACACGTCGCACAGCGAATCCGAAAGTTATCTGAAAAATGAATTGGAAGCGGCTAGACAAGGCCTACAGAATAAAGAAACATTGATAGAAAATATGAAACAAGAATTCGAAAAGAGTACGAATTTGTTGAGCGAGGAATTACGAAAGTCGAAAGAAACGATCGAGACGATGAAGAGAGAGAGCGCGAGTGAGAAAGACTCGTTGCTATCAGAGTATCGACAGACAATCGAAGAAAAAGATCGGTTGATCCAGGTAAAGACCGAGCAGTTGGAGAACGAGTCCAGGAGGCTGTTAGAACAGCAGAACGTGGTCCTGGAAAGTCTAAAAACCGAGAATATTAAGCATATCCATGAACTTTCAGAGTCTTTCGAACAACAGTTGCGTGCGAAGGACTCGAAAATCGAAGAGGTCTCGCAACAACTCAGTCAGAGAATGTCTGAGACCGAGAAACTATTGGTCGAATTGGCCGCTGAACGAGAGCTTCGCAAGAAGAAGGATGAAGAACTGATTGACGCTCTACGAAAGTTGGAGGGTACTATGAAAATTATTTAATCTAAAAAATTGATTAATTATTAAAATTGAAAAAATTATCTTTTACTGCAGTTGCAAATAATTTTATTTTGTAAAGTTTAAATTTTTCTTATAACTTTTATTTATTTTATATTTATTTATTCTTAATTTTTAAATATCTCTCTTGATATCTAGCAATTAATTTGTTACAACATAAATAACTTTTCCATTTTATAAATAAGCCATAAAATATATAATAATAAATACTAATAATATAAATAAAGAAATTAGCGAGATAAAATATTATCTAATTTATCGCGTATATTTTACAGAGTTAAGTATGAAACTCCAATTGGCTGAAGAAAGTAACAATGCGTTGACGAAACAGATTCAAGATTATAGAGCCAAGAGTGACGACAATGTAAGAATAGTTCACGAGAAACAACAGTTGGTGAGCACATCTTTTTTTTATTTTATACGAATGTAACATTCAAGATTTTATTCTATTGCTATCTTATCGGTTCAGGAGCAAAACTTAGCTAGTTTAATTGCCTCCGAAGAAAAATCTACGGCACAATTAAATAAATTGAACGAAGAGCTGAAAGTGAAGGACCGAGAGCTCGCGGAACTGCGAAATGCTAGCGTGGCGCAATTGGAAGAAATAACTAAACGTTTCGAGGCTCAAATTAATGAAAAAGTTAAATATATCGATGAGATAAACGCTGACATCACGCAGAAAGCTTTGATGCTTGCTAAACTGGAAAAAGACATTGCTGATTTAAAAGCAATCATAGCGAGCAAGGATGAGGAGATTAAACATCTTCTCGAAAAGACTTCAGGTAAAATTAAACGTGAGATATAGCTTGTTAAAAACATTAAAAGAAAAAATTAAATTAAAATTATATAAAATACAGAATAAATATTTTATTATAATTTATATTTTTTTTATTAAAAAATTTGAAATTTGAAAAGAATTATAAGTTTGTTCAATTCTTAATTCAATTAAAATTAATTATATGTTAATTTTAACTACAAGACTGCTTTTATGTCTTTTAGAGTTGCAAGATGCTCTCACGTTATCTGAACAAACGAAAACGAATTTGGAATGCGAACTTCGCGTATTCGAGTCAAACATGCAGAATTTGAATCAACAGATCGCAAGATCAGAAGAGAAAATATCGCAATTATCATCGCAAAAGGAAAAACTGGTTAGTATACAAAAAATGATTGCTTGATGATTAATTATCAATTTATTAAATTCATAATTTAATTCACTTGTAGGAATGTGATGTGGCGAATGCGATTAGTAGCTCTGCTGATTCATCGGAACAGCTATCAAAATATAATGAGGACTTGCGGAAAAAAGAGAAGGAACTCGACGAAGCTCGCGAAAAGATCTTCCATATAGAATCTACGTTGAGACAAACAGAGGGAAAATTGTTCAACACCGAGACGGAATCAAATAAAAATGCAACGTTAGTCGAGCAATTGCGCTCGGAAAAATCAACCTTAGAGTCACAAATAGATGATACTAAAAAATCAAATGCAGACTATGCCGAGAAAATTCGTGAATATAAACAAAGAGAAAATGAATTATTGACAAAATTGGAGGAAAGCGAACATATCAAAACAAGTTTGGAGAAGAAATCTGGTGAAATCGCTGATCTTACGGAAAGATTGACAAAGAAAGAACAAGAGATTGTTAATCTTTCTGAGGAACACAAAACCTTGCAAAGTTCCCACGAAGAACAGATATCCTCATTCCAGAAACAAATTGTGGACTTGTCGACGGAATTAACAACTTCACGCGACGAGATAACAAATTTACAAAAGTTGAAAAATAAATTAGAAGCCAATCAAAGTGCGAATCTATGGTCAATTGAAGAATTAACAGAGAAACTGAAAATCGAATCGGATAAATCATCAAAATTAGAGGACTTGATTCAGGAGAAGAAATTGAAGTTACAGGATGCAGAAAATAAATTATCAGAATTGCAAAAAACACACGATACTTTGGTTAACGATAAAGCGGTAGTCGATAAGAATTTAACTACATCTTTAAATACCATGACCAGCACAATAGAGGAATTGAACGGTAAATTAAAGGACGCTGAAAAAATAATTGGAGATAAGACGGATGAGATGTCAAAGGCAAGAACAGAGATGGAAAAGTCACAAGCACAAATAATTGAGATGGGCTCTACAATCTCTTCCATAAAAGAGGAGCTTATTCGTAGCAATAATGAATTGCAAAACGCACAAGAAGTAGCTGCACAGAAACAAAGCGTGACAAATGAATTGACTAAAGATAAAACTGCTTTAGAGAATTCAGTAAAGTCCTTGGAAACTCAATTATTGAATTTGCACGAGGAATTAGACAAGAGAGAGAAGCTTCTGGCAGAGATGGAAGTTACGATAAAAGAATTGGAAACTTCTAAGAAGGAAGAAATGCTGAAGTTACGAAATTCGTTGGAATGTGAGATTGTAACAAAGCAAAAGGAAGTTGAAGACATGAATAAGCAAAATAAAGAGCTAGAAGAAAAATTGCGATTATCTCAGGACGCTGTAGATAGGCACAAATCTGATTTAAATGATAAAGAGACTATTATCGGTAAAATAAAGGCGCAAATGAAGGCTTTGGAAGATATGCAGGTGGAAAGGATCAAAGCAGAACAAGAATCGCGAAATGAGGAAACCAAGTTGAAACAGATTGAATTGAGTGGCGCGAATAAGCGGATCCACGAGTTGCAAAATGCAATGAACACGTTAGAGAAACAGTTGAAGGAGCAAGCCGATTTGGCAAGAACTATGGAAAATAATGAGAAGGAAGTGAAGAAAAATGTCCAGAATCTGCAAGAGAAGCTGAATGTCGCCAAGACAGAAGAGATACGACTTCTGAGCGAGCTAAGTCGGTTGGAGAAGGAGAACAAGCAGGTCACCGCGAAGTGGATGGAAGCGACAAATCAGTTGAAACTGTCGCATGAAAATTTGAAAAATACTTATGATGGGACAGGTGACATGAAACAACAACATATTGCGAAGCTGCAAGAAGAGAACGACACCGCAAAGAGTCAGATAGATTTTTTGAACTCCGTGATAGTTGATATGCAACGTAAAAACGAAAGTCTGTTGTGTAAGATCGAGGTTCTCGAGATGGGGGTTCCTGCTAACGAAGCCGAGGATTATACTCGAAGCACGCTGGATAAGCGAACGGCAACGCCCCGTATGTTCTGTGATATTTGCGATCGGTTTGATCTGCACGAGACGGAAGACTGTCCCCGGCAGGCTCAGGATTTTTCGGATAGAGTTCCGGAGAAAGTGCCGAAGTCGAAGAAGCAATCCGTGGAGAGGCCGTATTGCGAAAACTGTGAGATGTTCGGTCATGACACACACGATTGCGACGATGCCGAAACATTTTAACGTTACGTCACGTCCATAAATCCATTTTGTTTGCTTGCCAAGATCCCGCGCGTAGCTAGAAAAAGATCTGTTTTAAACTTTACAGAGTATATACATATATTTTTGTATGGCAGATTTTTCGATTGTATCCTAAATCTCTGAGTATATATGAGTCTTCCCATGTGAAACGCACTTTAAAATTGTAAACAATTTTTATGTTCCCTTCAAAGGTAACGCAATTTTAACAAAATACTTTTTATAAACATTTTTTGGACACATAATTATCCTTGTATTATTATAGAATCCGAAATTATACCATGAAAAGTTATTAATTATACTAAAATTCATTCTACGATATGTTGTTATATTATTTATTGTATATTAATTGGATTGTCTCAGAAATTATATGCTTAATGTAATTTCATTGTTTTGGAATAGAGAAAAAAAAACAATTTAATTATTTTGCTAATGTTTAATTTTTATGCACAGAAGTATTTGAAGGAGCATATACGGTGTTCAGACAACAATTAAAAAAAAGTTATTGAAAAATGTCAACAAAAGTTGAAAAAAGTAATCATTACATAAATTGATTGACCTTGGGTCTGAAGTCATGTCAAGTCGATTGAATTTTTAAATGGAATATTTTCATGATATTTTAGCTTATCTCAAGCTTTAAAACTATAATTAAGTACTTTTATTAAGTACTTTTGGTTATAAGGTGAAATAATTCTAATTACATAAACCATAAAATATCTAGTAAACCATTCATTTTTCGATTATCTTACCTTCATACTTTTATGTACAAAATAATGAGAGGAATCAATTGGTGTAAAGAAAACGCATAGTTGTTTCTAAGGAAAAATATGTAATTTGCAATTAACAATTCCATATTTTTTCTTAAAAACAACTGTATGTTTTCTTTACACCAATTGATTCCTCTCATTATTTTGTACATAAAAGTATGAAGGTAAGATAATCGAAAAATGAATGGTTTACTAGATATTTTATGGTTTATGTAAAATTAAGAAATTATTTCAAGCCTTATAACTCAAAAAGTACTTAATAAAAAGGTACTTAATTATAGTGTTTTGGAAAGCTCTCGAGATAAGCTACAAGAATATGCAATGAAAAATAGGGGTTCCCATTTAAAAAATTCAAGTCGACCTTGACATGACCTTCACGACGCCACCCAAGGTCAATCAAATTTACCCATGTAATGCATTACTTTATCTTCAACAACTTTGTCTGAACATTTTTCAAAATAACCACTTCCTTTGCTTTAAATGGGGTACGGTGGTCTGAAACAGTATTTGTTTTTCAATTTTAATGTCTATTTTTTAACACCTCTGTGACGAAGTTACACATGTAATTATGTACATATTAGATATATCCGATTTAATTTGTGTTATTGTTTTATTTAATATTTATTTTCTGCGTTTTTTTGCGCAATTTAAGAAGACAGTTCCTGTAATGCTCATTAGCAAAAAGCGCAATTTTGAGCATGAGAGGATTTTTTTGATTAATTTCGGCGTCCCTCTTGGATATATCCCTATAATATTCTCCGCTGGGAGATTCTTTATAGTCTCTTCGTCTAGTAGGAAGAAAAAAAGAAAGTAGAAAATATACATGTGTCGAACAATTTTAAAGCTGACTTAAAGAAATCATGGCCTGCTATTGTCTTGCCTCTTTGTTAATGAATCTTAGGATTAAAGATATATTTTCTAAATCGATTGTAATGTTGTAACATGTGATGCATTGATGATAATGCTTCGTAGATAAGAATAAACAAATTCCTCATACGAAATATCTCCGTAAATCTTTTATATGTATACGCATAGATCTTCTCTCTATTTAAAAGAAAAGTTTATAAATATAAATTTTAAAATATAAGAAAGGATATCTTCTTAAAGAGGTAATATTGACTGGAAGCAGGAATAATTTTCATTTGTTCTTTAATTATTCTAGCGATTCTGACATACATTTAAACTTATATGCTATGATATTCCAGCTGTATGTTCTGTATGTAGCACAAAGTGAAATTCATCAAAATTATAAAATCAGCATGTAATCAGCATTGTATTCCTTCTACATTGAAACTTAACGAAAAAAATCTTTTATCAGCTAGTGAAAATAATAAGATTGAAAAAAAATTCAAAGTTATAACGAAGTAACATAATTGCGTGCTTCCTGGATATTAATGAAAGCGAAGACAGTCGTGTAATAGTAACATAATTCTCAATTGACATTTACAAAATAAAATTGTATACACGCAGTCCATGAGATAACTTTTATTAATAAATCTCCATTTCAATTTCTTTTTCATATACACACACATCCCTTCTGAGAAATTCAAAAATTAATCTATTTAAAATTAAATAAAATAGAAACTTTAATTAAAATAGAAAATAGAACTCGAACTAAAATAGAACTAAAAAAAACAAATCCTATCAATATATATGTAACAATAATTCCACATATTTTATTATAATAATGTATATATGTGTATGTGTGTATGAATGTGTGTCTATATATATATATATATACATACATACATACATACATACATACATACATGTACATATATACATTGTTATAACAAAATATGTGGAATTATTGTTTGTGCTAATAAATATCGTATGGCAAAAATTTAATTAGGAAAAACCAAATCCGTGTCTTTCAAATTATCGACGATCCACTCATTAAATTTCTTCTCGAGCTCCGGCGTGAATATTTCTTTCCAATTGCCTGTCTTTCCTTGCCGGATAAATGATTCGGGTTTTATTCGACCAGCTTGTTCCAATTGATTTACCATAGAATTTTTGCGGAAGTTTTCAATATTCAAATGCTCTGTTAACTTAGCGATTTGTTCGTTGTTGTAGGTTTTGCCATAAAACGTGGCAACTTTCTTGATGTTTTCGCTTAAATTCTGTGTAAAAGAGATGATATATTTTATAATTGCATCATACATATCTTTAAATCAATATAATATATTAATTTTATTACTAGAGGTGCATTATTTTTGTTATAAATATAATTTCTGGAGTTTATAATTGAAATCTTTGATTAAACGTAAACATTCAGATTGTCGAAAGATATAAAATGTAAAATAACAGTAATTAAATCGTCAAGTACATAAAAATGAAAAATATTAATGCATGCAATCAAAATAAAATTTTCGAATGTTGTTTCGTTTAAAAAATGACCGAAATACCGAATTAATTTTGTCTATCGATCTTTTTTATATAATTAATAATTTATATTTTATTTTCTCAGATTTATAATATTATAATTTTCGCAAATTTCTACAGAAAATCTTTATCTCACTTTTGTTAAATCTTCATAGAAAAGAAACAAAATGTTTGGTTTATGTCTAATTGCCCAAGCTGATTTGACATGCTCCCAATATGGCGCCCACATTGCTGAAAATATGGAAGAAATATAATTAAGAATAAGTAATTGAAGATAGATCAAATATAGATTATATTAAAAAAACAGGCTTTGTAAAACTTACTATGATTGTTTATAAAATCATTACACATCTGCTCGAAGTTGCCTTGATACTGATTGAGGTCTCTCAGCAAATTATACCATGAGACCACCACATCTTTTGGATTTCTCGCGACATAGATGATCTAGAAATAAAAGTAACATTTCTAAAAAGATTAAAAAGTTGGCAAATTAGAACCAAAGTGCGGTAGTTGAAGCGCAAGAAAGAAATAACACTTCCTTGTTTCTTATTTGTATATTTAAATTAAATATAATTATATTAATAAAAACGAACATTTCGGATAATCTTTGGATCGCTCTATCGCGTTACGGTTTTAATTTGTTAATTTTGATTTTTTAAATATCATTATTTGAGCAAATTTTTAATTTACTTAATTTTCAAAAAGATTTTTTAAATTGCATTTTTCAACATCTATATACATACCCACATGCTTACCTTGCAATCATTATTTACAACTGTTGGCCATAAATCGAGAGGAAAATGACTTTTGACAAAACGCGGTGAGGGTTGATTTTGTACAAACTCGACGCTATATTTTGTTATTTTTTGCTCGTTGGAAGTGCTGCTCGCTAATAACTCATCTTCTCTTATTAAGCTTATACTAAAAGAGGAAAGCTTTTTTTACAACAGAGAATGCTCTCTAATTTAAGAAAAAAACAATTTATTTCACATAATTTCTTCAATTCATATAAAAGAGAAGTACTGCAGAAAGATTTATGTGTGTGTTTCTACAAAATTCTCCACATATTTTATTGAATCGAAAATGTTATTAGTATTATAAAATAGTTTATTGTACATTGTAGATTTATTTGCGTACTAAATAAATGTTTAGGATTTAATTTTTGCATAAAAATTTCATCCAAGTCTTCTCGACTACAACTGAAACTTGAACGAAACAAGAAAAATTTAAATCTAAAAATAGATAAATGTAAATATGTAAAAAATGTGAAATTTCTCTCTTTGCGATTTTTATGTAAATATTATACTGTACTCTATAAAGGGGACTCTCTCTGTTAAAGGCTTTCGATACGCCTCGTCAAAATTCATATCGTTCCCTACCAACCATATGAGTTCCTGTGTCAACGTTGTACCTGATGGACACAAACCATATATTCACAATTAGAATCTCTTCTATTGCATTTACAAAATCATTAAAACTAACTTATCCGCGCAATAACAGAAGTAATTATAAAATTAATTAAAAAATTATATACAGGAATAGAGAAAATCGGTTATAAGTACATAACTAACAACAAGCAGATTAAACTTTTTTTTTCAGAAATTAAGTACATAAAAATATGATAAGACAGAAAAAAATAGTTTACCTGATCTAGGATAGGTAATAATCCACGTGTCATCGGGACGAGTCTCAAAGTTAAGTATTTTATCGCCTTGCTCGACAAATTTGTATGATAGAAACCATTTCTTCTCGCCGATCTTAACGAAACCTCTGACGCGTTCCGGATACAACTTAGACAGCGTGATCGCTAGTTCACCTTCGACACGTTCGATTTTCAAGTCCTTAAGGAAAGGCATTTCCTTAATAAATTAAGCACGAGCACTTTTTGTTAAATTTTTCCGTTTACGTCACGTAAATATATATTACGTATTATGTAATCTTGTCTCAGCTTTGTGTATCTTTCCAAAATTAAATAGTAAATTGAATAATATCACGAAGTTGTGATAAGATGTATAATTTGTATACTTTGTGTATATTTTCATCTTTATTTCATATGTTTGCTTAGAAATGTTTTCTATTCTTCAGCAAGTTAGTTTTGTTTCGTTTTAATAAAATCCGTTAAAATGATTTTCATATAATTTCATTGTATTATATATATTATCATTAATAAAAATAATATTTAGATACATTTTTTTTCATAATTTTTTTCATAATTTTTTTTATTTTTTAATTTATAATATTAAGATATTATTTATTAAATTTGATATTGTTGGTCACCGATGTCCGACACAGCGTTTAATAATTTCTATCACAAAATGACGCGTGAAAAAAAAATGATAAGAATTCAAAACATGTAATTATATATATATTAGACATACTCAAATTAACTTATGTTAGTTTTTTATATAATATTTATTTTCTGCGTTTGTTGCGTACTTTAAGAAGACAGTTCTTATAATGCTTGCTAGTAAAAACTGCAATTTCAGATTGAGAGGATCTTCTCAATCACTTTAGGCGGTCCTCTTCGATATTCTTATGATATTCTTTGCTGAGAAATTCTTTAAAGTTTCTTCGTATAGTAAAAAGAATAAAAGAAGTTAGAAAATATACATACATATGTCGAGTAATTTTGAAGCTGACTTAAAGAAATATTATGACCTGCTATTTTCTTGCTTTTTTGTTAATGAATCTTCTTAAGATTGAAGATATATATTCTAAGTCGATCGTATTGTTGTAACATGTAATGCATAATGCTTTGTAGGTAAGAATAATCCTGACACGAGATATCTCTGTAAATCTTTTATATATTAATACGCATAGGTCTCCTTATCTCTATTTAAAAGAAATTTATATAAGTATAAAATTTAAAATATAAGAAAGGATCTTGTTAAAAAAGGTAATATTGACTAGCATTATAAATAATTTTAATTTGTGCTTTAATTATTCTAGTCATTATGACATACATGCACATTATCAGTAAACTTATGTTACGATATTCAGTTGTACGTTCTGTATGTAGCACAAAGTAAAATCCATTCATTATAAAATCAATATTATGTTCCTTCTACATTGATACTTAACGAAAAAAATCTTTTATCACGTAGTGAAAATAATAAGATTGAAAAAATAATTCAAAGGTATAACTAAGTAACATAATTGCGTGCTTCCTGGATATTAATGAAAGTGAAGACGGTCGTGTAATAGTAACATAATTCTTCAATTGACATTTACAAAATAAAATTGTATACACGCAGTCCATGAGATAACTTTTATTAATAAATCTCTATTTCAATTGCTTTTTCTATATACACACACATACCTTCTGAGAAATTCAAAAATTAATCTATTTAAAATTAAATAAAATAGAAACTTTAATTAAAATAGAATAGAACTCGAACTAAAATAGAACTAAAAAAAACAAATTCTATCAATATATATATGTAACAATAATTCCACATATTTTGTTATAACAAGGTATATATGTGTATGTATGTATGTATGTGTGTCTATATATATATATATATATATATATATATATATATATACATACATACATATATACATACATACATATACTTACATACATACACATATATACATTGTTATAACAAAATATGTGGAATTATTGTTTGTGCTAATAAATATCGTATGGCAAAAATTTAATTAGGAAAAACCAAATCCGTGTCTTTCAAATTATCGACGATCCACTCATTAAATTTCTTCTCGAGCTCCGGCGTGAATATTTCTTTCCAATTGCCTGTCTTTCCTTGCCGGATAAATGATTCGGGTTTTATTCGATCAGCTCGCTCCAGTTGATTTACCATAGAATTTTTGCGGAAGTTTTCAATATTCAAATGCTCTGTTAACTTAGCGATTTGTTCGTTATTGTAAGTTTTGTCATAAAATGCAGCGACTTTCTTGATGTTTTCGCTTAAATTCTGTGTAAAAGAGATGATATATTTTATAATTGCATCATATCTTTAAATCAATATAATATATTAATTTTATTACTAGAGGCACATTATTTTTGTTATAAATATAATTTCTGTAGTTTATAATTGAAATCTTTGATTAAACGTAAACATTCAGATTGTCGAAAGATATAAAATGTAAAATAACAGCAATTAAATCGTCAAGTACATAAAAATGAAAAATATTAATGCATGCAATCAAAATAAAATTTTCGAATGTTGTTTCGTTTAAAAAATGACCGAAATACCGATTAATTTTGTCTATCAATCTTGTTTATATAATTAATAATTTATATTTTATTTTCTCAGATTTATAATATTATAATTTTCGCAAATCTCTACAAAAAATCTTTATCTCACTTTTGTTAAATCTTCATAGAAAAGAAACAAAATGTTTGGTTTATGTCTAATTGCCCAAGCTGATTTGAAATGCTCCCAATATGGCGCCCACATTGCTGAAAATATGGAAGAAGTATAAATAAGGATAAATAGTTGAAGATAGATAAAATATAGATTATATCAAAAAAATCAATTGAGATTTTGCAAAACTTACTATGATTGTTCATGAAATCATTACACATCTGTTCGAAGGTTCCTCGATATCCGAAAATATCTTTCCGAAAATGATAATACGAGACAACTACATCCTTTGGATTTCTCGCGACATAGATGATCTAGAAGAATAAAAATAACATTTTTAGAAAGCTTAAAAAATGGGCAAATTGGAGCCAAAGCACAGTAGTTGAAGCGCAAGAAAGAAGTAAAATCTTCCTACTTTCATACTCGTATATTTCAAATTAAATATAATTTTATTAACAAATTTACATTAATAAATTTTTTAATATATCACATTTCATCATTGAATCTCAAGTCAACATGAGAGATATACAACGGGATACCGTTATTAATTTGTAAAGAGTACAGAGTCTGATTTATTGGATTTTAATACATTGGAATATTACAATATTACAATTTGACGAATTATTTGAAACAATGTATGTCTTTGCGAAATATGACTTAACGTTATCTACGCGTCAAGGAGAGGTATTTTATAATTTAATGCGTTACCGAATAACACTTTATAAAGTATATTGTTAATATCATGCTGAAGAAGGACCAAAAGATGATCCGAAACGTGCGTTTTTATTAATATAATTATATTCAATTTCAATTATATATGAGTAATTAGAAGAAAGGAAGAATTGTTCCTTTTTTCTACTCGATCTATCGCATTGTTGCTCTAATTTGCTAATTTTGATTAAAATTTTTAATTATCATTATTCCAGCCAATTTCTAATGTATTTAATTTTCGAAAAATATTCTTTAAATTGCATTTTTCAACACATATATACATACACCTTATATACATACACCTTACCTTGCAATCATTGTTTACAACTGTTGGCAGTAAATCGAGAGAAAAATGACTTTTGACAAAACGCGGTGAGGGCTGATTTTGTACAAACTCGACGCTATATTTTGTTATGTTTTGCTCGTCTGGACTGCCACTTGCTAATAACTCGTCTTCTCTTATTAAGCTTAAACTAAAAGGAGGAAGTTTTTTTTAAAACATTGAATGTTTTATAATTTAAGAAGAAACAATACTTCACATTTCTTCACTATAAAAGAGAAGCGAGTGAGAAAGATTTACGTTTCTATAAAATTCTCCACATATTTTATTGAATCGAAAATGTTATTAGTAAAATAGTTTATTGTGCATTTCACACTTATTTGCGTATCAAATATATGTTTAGGATTTAATTTTTGCGCAAAAATTTCAACCAAGTCTTCTTGACTACAAAACTTGAACGAGAGTGTTTATGACAATTAATCGGATCTCTGATCGGACTGAGCAGTAGTACTCAGCGATAGACTTCCTAAATTTCCCTAGACTAATCCGGATCAATGATATGTCTCTGGAGTAATCGAATTAAATTAACAGTCTTTGAAAGAAATTGCGGTCAAGCTGATCGAAAAAATTGTGAGAAACATCATAAGAAAATATAGAAGGTACTTTATTATTCTTTTAATTAATATATATTTATTTATTAAATATGTATTAATAAACAAATGTATTTTACTGGAATACAATGTTTTCTATAAAATAAGAATAACTCTAAACCTCACTTTATTTTAATTAATTAACACTTTATATTAATATAATAAACAATATTAATTTGCAAAATAATACTGCAAGTAACAAAATGTATGTACGTAGCAATAATAATTAAATTTTACCATGAATTTCTTAATTATCTTGTAATTATTAATTTTTGAAAGTTTATCAATTAAATATGTGAAGTTTTTATTCGTTACAATATTACTTAAACTTTTTTTATTTAGAAAACATACATAGAAGATAATAATAAAGTACCTTCTATATTTTCTTATGATGTTTGTCACAATTTTTTCGATCAGCTTGACCGCAATTTCTTTCGATGACTGTTAATTCGATTACTCCAGAGACACATTGATCCGGATTAGTCTAGGAAAATTTAGGAAGTCTATCGCTGAGTACCACTGCTCTGCCCGATCAGAGATCCGATTAGTTGTCGTAAACACCCCGAAATAAGAATAATGTGAAAATAGATGTGTGTGTAAAAAATGTGAAATTTATCTTCTTGTGATTTTTATGTAAATATTATATAATGTAAATATTATACTGTACTCTATAAAGGGGACTCTCTCTCTTAAAGGCTTTTGGAGAGCCTTATCAAAGCTCATATCGTTTGCTACCAACCATACAAGTTCCTGTGTCAATGTTGTACCTGAGGGACATAAAATATACAATCACAATCAAAATCGCTTTTATTGCATTTACAAAATCATTAAAACTAATTTATTCGCGCAATAACGGAATGAATAATAAAATCGAAAATTTTATA